ATTTAATTTCACTTTAAAATTAAATTTTAGTTATTAAAGTTTTGTATAGACATCGGTAGTAGATTACAAAGTTTGGAACAAAGTGCTTTGAATTTCTTTGAGCAATTTTCTTACTCATCAATGGAATATTTATCAGATTTAAATCTTGTATAATGAACGTGATCAACGAAAGAAGTTATGTTCTGTATCGCAGGCTGATTATTAAGCACAACATTAATAAGTACAACTTTTGAATACAGTTGTCTAATAGTTTTCAACTTCAACTCTGAAACGATATACAATAATTATAATACCAATATTTGATGCTTTAACCGAAATTTTAAAGTTATTTGAATATAATTCTCCCCATCCTAGTATACCATTTTATAGATTAACTGAATAAATGCATAATATATTAACTTTAATAAGTTGAAATTAAGTATTACTTTTAGTTGTTTAAATGTATATATTAATCTTCTAATCAACAGGGGTGGTCTAAGGAGGAGGTAAGTAAGTTTGTTTGTTTGTAATTAAGCACAAAGCTACACAATAGGCTATCTGTGCTCTGCCCACCACGGGTATCGAAACCCGGATTCTAGCGTTGTAAGTCCGCAGACATACCGCTGTGCCACTGGGGGGGGGGCGAGGTAAGTAAGTGGAATTGCCCTGGGTCCCCTGATCGATAGAACCTTCCGACTGAATGTTGTTGTTCTTTTCTTAGTGTAAAGTCACACAATGGGCTACCTAAACTCTGTCCACCACGGGGATTTGAACCTAGGTTAGTTTGTATCGTAAGTCCGTAAACTTACCGCTGACCAATCGGGGAACATGACTAAAAAAATCATTAATATTAACCAGAAACTGGAAAAAAAACAAGAGCAATTTTAATCGTTTCATATAAACCATTAATTTTGTAACTTTCATTAATATGTGCTAACTTACCTGCTCGTTCTCTCATAAATATTTGTTTAGCCATTTAATATAAAAAAACCGTCGTCGTTACGTTATAGATGTATTCTAAATATTAACATTGGTATTTTTTTATATCATCTACTCATCTCTTGTGTTCGAGTATTGCTCAAACTGTAAGTTACTAAATAGCATCGAATTGTATATGATTTATTTATGAAGTTCAGTCTTAATCGAATAGAGTTCATTACAAAAGATGTATGCCCCTGATGAAGGCGTAAGGCCGAAATGTTAAGCAAATAAAACAACTTCTACTATTCTCTGGATTCACGGTCATCTTATTTATTTAAAATCGCGCGTGCTTTGCTCCAGTGAGCATTTCGTAAATTAAAAAATATATATATAAATACTTCCTGTCATCGACCAGTTGAATCGGATTGCTAATATTTTCTATATTACTCAAAAATAGAAAATTCAAATAACTGTGGCACGGATGGTATTTCTAAAAAAAGATGCAAAAATTCAGGGTGTTGTTCCATTCTGTATTCAACATTGTTCAACCACACTCATGTACTAAATGATGAACAACAACAACAAAAAAATCCCCAAAAAACTTAAACATTTCGACACGGTATACGTTCAGAGATGGCTGAGTTTTTCTTCCGAAAAAAAAAAGCCTTTGTAAGATAGAATAGAACGGTTTTACTTTGAGCGATAGAGTTCATTATAGTAATCTTATGCTTCTGATGAAGGTTTAAAGCCGAAACGTTAAGTAAATAAAACAACTTGAAAGATTCATGGATTCTATACTGTTTACTTTCATCAAACGTTTTACTAATATATAATGGTGTAATAATAATAAAGACAATAATCAAACTATTTTGTCTGGATAAATGCATTTTTCTTTTATGACTCATTCTACTTCAAGAAATCAAAAGAGATAAAGAGTGACGTGAAACATACTGATTTTTATATAGGTTAGATAAGACTGATGGTATTTCAGTTTATGTATTGGAAAACATAATCCATAACTTGTTAATATTAATGAACGATTTGTTTTTTGTTTGTTTGTTTTTGAATTTCGCGCAAAGCTACACTAGGGCTATCTGCGCTAGCCGTCCCTAATTTAGCAGTGTAAAACTAGAGGGAAGGCAGCTAGTTATCACCACCCACCGCCAACTCTTGGGCTACTCTTTTTCCAACGAATAGTGGGATTGACCGTCACATTATAACGCCCCCACGGCTGAAAGGGCGAGCATGTTTGGTGTGACAGAGATTCGAACCCGCGACCCTCAGATTGCGAGTCGAGTGCCTTAACCACCTGGCCATGCCGGGCCATTAATGAACGAAACTAATGTTCCTTTCTTAACATGTATTTATCGTTCACCAAATAATTATGTCACAAAGTTCATAAAAAGTTTACATAATAATAATTTTCTTTTATTTATCAACTAATACGGATAATCATGCTTTAATTAATGATATTAATATAAATATAAACAAGAAATTGTAAAATTGAATGATGCTAATGATTACTTACAATTAATGGGTTAATTTGGTCATTTGATTCGGAAAATTCTAGGTGTTTATATTTTTAAACTGAAGAAGAAAAATTAATCTTCGATCAGCAGCTATTAAAATATATATATTACTGAACCCATTATTATTTTAGTGACGGGGGTGCAAGGGGGCCGGGAGGAGGGCCGTGAAACCTTATAAGTGTAGTGAGTGTTGGTATAATATGCCTTAAGTAAAGACGTAATATGGGATAACCTAGCCTAGAGCCAAGTGCATAAAATTTATCATGCAAGTAAAAATATCGATCCAATTTTAAACTTAAATCGTTTCTGAATTAAGCTACTTTCTGTTTTATCATCAACGTTTTTAATAATAATAATCAACCTCTTTAATCAACGAAGACTAAATTAAGAACTCAACAAATATTTTTCCGGTTTCGTTGTCTAAACATTTAATTTTATACCTTCAGTGCACAGACTAACAACATTAAGTTATACTTTTGTTGCTAAGCAATATGACATAAAATCCCTTGTTGGGACGTAGTGTTACCAAAACGCACTGGATTTTCTATTATGAATACGTCACGAATTCATTTCATAAATGGTCTTAATTTTGATTAGCTCACAAAGGAATTTACAATTTACCGACGTTTGACTGCCTCGACTGCACTTTTATTCCTGTTTGTTGGACAAGCTTGATTTCGCAAAATTTATTTATTTCAGTTAGCTACGAAATGTGAGGTTAGAGTATACTATAGGATGGGGGTGGTAGTACTTGACCCATCATTTTTGCCGAGCTATACGCTAGTTATCGTATATTAGCTATGCATCCACTAACACAACAAAATATAGTTTAGAAGTTCGTTATAAGTATTACTTTATGATCTTCACTCTTCCTTACAATTTTTAAACCAGGTAAAATAATACTGCTTACTTAATAAACCATTTTATCTTGGGTTTCATAAAAAAGTTTATAATATAAGTGATCACTTTGAAATCCGGTAGATTGGAGTGTATGCCCATAGCGTTAGTTGTTTATTTTTTCATTCTATTAATGTCATGGTGTATTTAAACTTTCTGGTAGCCTTGTATCCAGTGTTCCTTACTTACTTTGTACAGAGCAAAATGGTGTATTTAAAATCTCCGATAGCCTTGTATCCAGGGTACCTTACTTTGTACAGAAGCAAATTGCACAATAATCGGGATGGGGGTTAGTTACTTTTATGAGCAGCTGTAATTTATATTATGGTAAATGGAACATTTGTTACAGCTGCAACTTGCTCTTAAGGTTGTCAATGTTAATAACAAATTCATATGTACTTACTTCAAACGTTGTTTATTTTACACATATTCTGGTTTATTTTTTTTCCCACTGTTTCAGTTAGTTGCTAAAAAATGTTATTTCTATTGGCAGGTTGATGATCCGACTGTTCTTCCAAACTACCCATACAGAGATGATGCTACTGCTATTTATAAAGCCATCCACAACTATGTAACCAAAGTTGTTCAGTTTTACTATGGTACAGTTTCGGTTCAATCATTGACATTTTAAAGGATTGTATTAACATTTATTTTTTGGAGGGAGAGGGAGTTATCATATTATTAGTATTGTTTTAAGCTTTATGGACCTTGTTATGGTTTTCATCAACATTATTAGCATTGTTCTGTGTAACTTAACTATCAATGTTGATTACTTTTCATTAAAAATATGATTAAAAGATCTGTTGATGTTGTTGTAGGCTTAACAACATTTTATGGGTTGAATTAACATAATTCACACAGTCACGGATTATTTCCGTAATTTAAAAAGTTAATATTTTGTTTGATGTATTAATAATTTCAGGATTTTTTTGGACTAACAATGTTGTGTATTATTAAATATAAAATTAGATTAACATGACGTAGTTTATAAAGCTACGTTTGATAATATTTTTTGTTTTTTTTAATAAATACACACAGTTGAAAGTTTAGACAATCCTGACCAACTTTTATTGTTTTCAATCATTTCCAGATAGTGCAGAGAAGGTTATTAACGATGACGAACTCCAAAGCTGGCGAGAAGAATTGGTTTTGAGTAGAGACGAGGGGGGTGTTGGTTTAATGGTACGTGTATCTTCAGTGATTTGAATTTAATTAAACTTTTGGACAAACTAATATTCAGAGAAGGTTATTAACGATGACGAACTCCAAAGCTGGCGAGAAGAATTGGTTTTGAGTAGAGACGAGGGGGGTGTTGGTTTAATGGTACGTGTATCTTCAGTGATTTGAATTTAATTAAACTTTTGGACAAACTAATATTCAGAGAAGGATTTATTCACTGAAAGACACTATAAAATAACACTACCTGACGAACACCAGACACTTTGATAAACTAAAAATATAACTAAGTTTAACAAACGAACTAGAAGGTTGCTATATTTCCTATTGTTGTTTGATTGTTGATCAAATTATAGCATACAAAATCACTAGTTATTTTAGGATTATTTTAGTTCGACAAATTTTAATATTAGGCTATTTTGCCTTGTTTACATTTCAATAGAGAATACTTTGAAATTTTCAGAACATTATTCTAAACTAGCTGGAGCACCCGTCCCCTGGACGGAAGTTATGTAAGTCAACTCATGATTAATGAAAAGTTATCTTAAGACATGAAAAGCTGCTTCCCTTATATGTAATTGTAAAATACACAAAAACGCCCATAAAAAGTGCAAAACGCAAAAATGTGAAACCGCAATTTTGCACGTATCTCTGTATGGACCAAACAAACCTTCATGCCAGATTTGATGATGATCCATCAACAGGGGGCGAAGTAGTAAAAAATACAAAAACGCTGATAAAAACCGCAAAACGCCAAATGCAAAATCGAAAATTTTTGTGTATTTCCCCAAGGATGCAATGAACCACCATACCAAATTTGGTAAAGATCGATCCAAAGGAGGTGAGGTAGTGGTAAAAAACGCCAAAAAACTGCAAATTTATATGTTCCCTCGCATGGACCTAACGAACCTCTATACCAGTTTTGGTAGAGATCCATCTATACCCTGCGAAAGAGTTACATGGACATACGTCAGACAGTACTATTATATTTATATAGATACTGCACATTCGGTAACTATATTACTTATTGGGTAAAAACACGAAGAAAATGTAAAAAAAAGGTTACCATTGAACACGACTAGGGACGTTGTTGGAAGAAATGATGAAGTATCAGACCTCCCATGATAAAGCTTCCAAAACTTATCTATTCTAAAAGTTAATTTTTAAGATATAAATAATCTGCGACAAATTTTATGATGAGTCCCTCGTAGTATCATAAATATTGAGTATGTAAATTGTGTTTTAATTAATTATTTTAAATAGCATAATATTATCAGAATTTTGACTTACTTTTTTTTCCAGCTTGTAGACTTAATTGTTGATTTTAACGTTTAATGAAATGGTTGGAAAATTACTGTGGTTAAAGAGATGTTAAATGAGCACCGTATTTTCGACTGGCGCAGGACATTAAAATTTTTCTACTTCATCATTCTAAGCTAGTTCACGCTATAACAGTAGTTGTTCATACAGTTTGTTAATATAAAAAGCGTTTCAACCACTACTGTGTCTGTCGTATCCCAGCCGGCATGACGAGCATTGGTATTAGGCAAAATACCTCGTCGGCACCGGATATAGTAGATATAATGTGGTTGACATGTTGCTATACATTCTTTTTTACCTTCACTCAAGCGTTCTTATGTAAGGGACTTGAACACGAGGAAAACATAAATAAAGTTACCAATGGGTAAACTAACGGTAGAAAAATGTAAAGTTGACATTAGGTAAACTAACACTAGAAAAGTGTAAAGGTGGCATTGGGTAAACTAACTCTAGAACAATATAAAGTTTACATCGGGTAAACTAACACTAGAAAAGTGTAAAGTTAACATTGCGCAAACTAACACTAGAAAAGTGTAAAATTGACTTTGGGTAAACTAACACTAGGAAAGTGTAAAGTTGACGTTGAGTAAACTAACACTAGAAAAAGTGTAAAGTTGACGTTGAGTAAACTTACACTAGAAAAAGTGTAAAGTTGACATTGGGTAAACTAACACTAGAAAAGTGTAAAGTTGACGTTGAGTAAACTAACACTAGAAAAGTGTAAAGTTGACGTTGAGTAAACTAACACTAGAAAAGTGTAAAGTTGACGTTGAGTAAACTAACACTAGAAAAAGTGTAAAGTTGACATTGGGTAAACTAACACTAGAAAAGTGTAAAGTCGCCTGCATTCCTTCTCTTTGGTCCGAAGTTCAAATTAATGGTCTTTGACCTGGCCGTTTTAACTTAGTGTAGGCATAAGGTTTTGTTCAGATGAACAAATAAACAGTTTATCTCCCATTGACAAAAACGCAATTGAAATACTTCAATATCACAGTTGGCGGTTTCCGTACTATGTACCTTTGGTGTAAAACGTCTTGGGTTTCTGTATAAGTAAAAACTAAACCATTTCAACTGAACAAGTTGTTAACTAGTTCATAGAGTATTGTTGTATCATTTAGTTTACTCAGACAACTAGATTTCTGTGAATAATAAAAATTAAGAAAGGGCTGATAAACTCATGGTAAGTCTTATTTACGTACATGAGATTTGTTCTGTCGTTAACATGACAGAATAGTATTAACTTTAAAAAATCGAAGAGAAGGATTATTGAAGTTGTTTTTTCTAATATGTTAGACTTAATATGGCGTAACAAATGTTAAATGGTTTCAGTACCTGATCAAAGTTTTCTTAGCTTACTAAATGTTTTACTATCCGCTCCTGAATGAATAGGATTATCACTTTTCTATCATTTGTTTGTTTGTAATCCTGGTTTCAAAATAATAATTCAAATTATATAATATCTAAATGTTGCCTTTAGAAAATCCTGTATCACCAGTTTTAGTTCATAGTAATATGTTGGCCTGCTAGCTAGGTCTCCTATTTTGTTTTACTCACCATCATACCCAAATTTGAACAAAAAATGCGTCCTGGCTAACAAATGAATGAATATTTGCTGTAAAATATTATTAATTCTATAAGTGTAGATATCAGTTTAGCCGCCAATTTTGATTTCATTCCTTTAAGTCGCACGCTGAATCCCTTTTTTGGCCGCACCTTTTTCTTCACACCTAAGGTGCTTTTGATTAGATTGTTGTAATTGTTCGTTTATATTTTAAACATATTGCCTCCAAGAGTATCCCTCGCACGATTGTAAGATCGTAGTGATTGTTCGCTTATATTTTAAACATATTGTCTCCAAGAGTATCCCTCGCACCATTGTAAGATCGTAGTGATTGTTCGCTTATATTTTGAATATGTTGTCTCCAAGAGTATCTCTCGCACCATTGTAAGATTGTAGTGATTGTTTGCTTATATTTTAAACATATTATCTCCAAAATATGTTAAACAAAGAATTACTAAGGCCCTATAACAATACGAGAGATACTCTTGGAAACAGTATGTTAAACAAAGAATTACTGAGGCCCTACAACAATACTAGAGATACTCGTTTCCAAGAGTATCTCTCGCATCGTTGTAGGGCCTCAGTAATTCTTTGTTTAACATATTGTCTTAGTTCTTATGTATTAATGTTTTTTACATGTGTTTTTTTAACGCTAACATTAGGGTGTTCCAGGTGAAAATGGAAAATTCACTACAGTCGATCAAGTTATTGACGTAGTGAGCGTAATTATTTCAATTTGCAGTATCGGCCACGCTTCAGCGAATTTTCAGCAATATGCAGAATATGGTTTCCCGCCAAATTATCCTGGAATAATGTGTGGAGAAATTCTTCGAGACAAGGTAGGTTTGTTGAGCAAATTCATAGTTATTCTGTATGTGTTCTTCATCTGTTTACTTATCGTGCAGGTCACAGTTATGTTAATATACGTAATATCAATGTTCAGCTTAGAAAAACAAATATTTTTCTGTAGAGTATTATTTGTGACGTTGATACTACGATAACTTAAGATTCAAGAGGTAAATACATTGGGATCTTATTAAATTCATTTCAAGACGTGGTGAGTTATTGTTTGTTTCTTTAAAAACATAGCAAACTAAACACACTCAAAGCCATAAACAAATGATTGTGTGTAAAACAGCTTTTGATAATAGCGACGCTACAATATAGAGGTAAGACTTTTTTCAAATTTTGATGACAATACTCTGACCTTTGAAAATGGGTCGTGGAAAGCATTGTTGTACGAGTGGAGTTAATAACAACTTACTAATTGAATGTTTTGTCGTTTTTTTACCCATATTCTACAGAGATTATGAATAATTATAACATAAAATAAACTTAGAATTTAAAACAAATATTTCGAAGAAGCTAAATCTTTTTAGGTTTTATTTTTCGTTCAGACGAAAACATTTAATTGTATCAATTGGCAGGAGATATAACGCCCCCACTGCGTGTTCAGCGGTGTACCGTGGCTCGAGCCTTGGACCTTCCGATCTGCAAGCCGCCACGCTACTATTAGACCACGTTAAGTCCCGATCGATTCCATATTTTAGATTTTTAATAATCCCAAACCATACTCCCGGTAAATTGTTATTACTAGCCAGGAAATGGTTTGATCAACCTTCACCTCGAGACGGTCAATTGCCCTATTCCGTCAAGAGTAGTTAAGATATGGGGCAGTGGGTGCTGACGACTAATTGCACTCCTTGTAGTCAGCTGTTTTAAGTTAGGGATGGCTATGTTTGTAACTTTTAACTCAAGTGTCGCATTGGTCTGTCAGATTAAAAATAGCAAATGGTGAAATATGTTGATGTTTATAACTAAAGTTCTAAGTTATAAGAATCTGAAATAGTGGATTAACTTCATTATGTGAGGATATTTTGCAATCCCAATGTCATTTAGTAGCCCATCACATTAAACATGTTTATTAACAAGCACTCAATTCAATGGCAGGAGAAAATATACATAATATACATAAATATGTATTATTTTATGAGGAATCCAGAGGTGTACGCCGATCTATAATTAGATAGCATCCGAAGATGATACAATTCGTTTTTAGCAGGAGAGTTGAGTTTAGGGTGATATTTTTGCCCTGATTCAGACAATGGTCACTGCATTGTTGTAGTACATTATCTGAGGAACACTCACCATTCCCGAACTCTCTGCGAAGCCTGTGAGGTACTGTTGAGACAACGAGCCAGAATCTCTGAGTGTTTGTTCTTGTAAAGATGGAAACGATGTCGGATCCAAAGCTAAAAACGATGTTGGATTCAAAGCTAACTCGCAAATGTAAAGAAACAAAATGTCTGAGGTGTTACAAGTGTAGCAGGTGTGGATCAAAGAAAACAGCACAGCAAAATGATTCCTAGATCATGCCCAACACAGTCATTTACCTTATTCTTAGGCTTCCGGATCCGTGTGGATACCCTCCCACCTACTCAAATAATCACATTTTCTTTCATTGAGTCAAAGATTGCTTGTTAAACATTTCTGTATATTATAAGCAATAAGGATCATGAACTGATATTTTAAACTCCCGATACTGCTACCAATTCTCTACTTCTAGAAACCTCGTACTCTCAAGGATGTACTGAAGACACTGCCAAACAAGGAAACAACTCTGGATATAATGGTTATCACCAAACTACTTAGTGCTCGGGGAACCAAATCTCTCGGAGACTTTGAGGTGAAGTATTTGTATCACCCAACGTGTGTCAAAGCCGCAGAAGAGTAAGTTACCAGATTTTCTCGTTACTTGCAATGTAAGAAAAACATGTATATATATATATTTTATGTAATTACAACATAAGGTGTAAAATATGTGGAAGTTTTATATACGCACTCCTATAAACTAAATGAAGGATCAGGTGACCAACTCCTTTGTCGTCTATCTTAATGAAACTCCCTTAGTTTAAAGCAGACTGCTGACACATTGAGCTTGTTACTTTATTAAACAACTATTTATATGAATGTATCAACAGATTATAGTGGTTAAAGTCTTTAATTAGCATTCATAATAAAAGGCTGAAACAAACAGTATATTAATTGTGAAAAGAATGCAAACTGTTTATGCTTTATTATGAAAAATCTTTTAAAATTTATTGTAATAAAAATGGAATCAAAAAGAGAATAGGACTTATTTTTGTCGAATAGCATCCCAGACATGTTATTTTTTGATCTAGTCTTTATAGATGGTTCTTATTTTGAAGTTGATTTAGCGCTTAGTTTGTTTTGTGTAAAATAGGCCTGAGGTGTACGGCATCACCCGTTTTGGTAAAACGTTAATACACAAACAAATTTGTTGTTATTCCAATAATTTGAGAAAAAACTGAAAATCTACAGAGAACCTGTTAATCTTAGGTACATAATACACTGATTATTTTTCTATACCACAACATGCTTTTAAAACTGGCTCTTAAAGACGCCTTAAAACTCAGTAGAACTGTTGAAGCCCCACGACAATGTAGTAAACGATACAATTTAAGCTACTAACCCAACCTTTTTGTAACAGTGGTATGTCTGCGAATTTACAACGCTAGAAACTGGGTTTCGATACCCGTGGTGGGCAGAGCACAGATAGCACATTATGTAGCTTTGTGTTTAACTACAAACAAACAAATTTTTTTGTGAAAGATAAAAGTTTTTTTTCTTAAGTTTTATATCGCAAGACCTAGAATAGTTTACATGATGTCTAGGTTTAGTTATCTTGATAAGGATGCTGTTACATGTAGACTTGAAAATCTGGCCAGTTAGACGTGTGTATGATAGCTCGTTCAACTCTGTTCAGAAATATCAAGTAAATATGTATAATGGGGCTAGTTGATATGTTAGAAACATACGAAGTAACAGGACTGGTTAGAAGTCAATATTTTCAGACGTAGAAATTGAAAATACAATGTAATTTGATTAATGTGTCAGAGAGGAACCCGCCAAAGCTGATTGGTGTTTCAGATTAGGAACACGCCCAAATTGATTGATGTTTTAGAGAGAAACAAGCTACAGCTGATTGGTGTTTCAGAGAGGAACATGCCAAAGCTGATTGATGTTTCAGAGAGGAACACGCAAAAGTTGATTAGTGTTTCAGAGAGGAACACACCAAAGCTGATTGGTGTTTCACATAGGAACACGCCCAAATTGATTGATGTTTCAGAGAGAA